CTGTGAGTTTGAGGCCAGCCTGGTCTACAGAGCTAGTTCCAGGATAGCTAGGAGTGTTACACAGAGAAAGCCTGTCTCGAAAGAGAGAGAGAGAGACAGAGAGAGAGAGACAGAGGGAGAGAGAGAGAGAGAGAGAGAGAGTCAAATGCCAAATTCTTTTTGTTGTTGTGGTTTTGGCTTTTGAGACAGGGTTTCTATGTGTAGTTTTTGATGTCCTGGAACTCACTTTGTAGACCAGGCTGGCCTCAAGCTCAAAGATCCACCTGCCTCTGCCCCCAGACTTCTGTTATTGATGGTGTGCGCCACCATGTCTGGCTAAGTTATTGACAGATTAAAAGGCAGAACTTGCAGAATGTGAATTATAAGAGAAAGAAAAGAAACTGGGGAGATAGCTCGGTAGGTACAGTTCTTGCTGAACAATCGTGAAGACCTGAGTCTGAATCCCCAGGGCCTACACAAAATTGGGCATACGGCAGCTCTGTGATTCCGGTGTTTCTATGAAAAGATCTCTCTCTGGAAGCTTGTTAGCCAGCTATCTTGGCACCATAAGTGCACTGGCAAATAACAAAGATAGCCTGCCTCAACCAACGTGTCCTCTGACCTCCATATGCAGGCATGTTGCCCCCACACATGTGCACGCCATAGATTTATGTGCATGCACACGTGCCACAGATATACAAGTATGCACATGCATACATGTACATGCACAAGACCATACATGTACACACATACTATACATACACAGTGTACATACATGTGCATACACACCATACAAACATATATCATACATACATGTATAGGCACTCACCATACATACACATGCATAACACATCATATATGCACATGCATGCACACACATACCATACATACATACACACACCATACATGCACATGCACGCACATCATACATACATGTTCATGCATATATCATACACATGCATGCATAAACACATACACAAAGATAGAAAAGAAAGGAGGAAAGCTGGAGAGATGACTCAGTCAGTACAGTATTTGCTATACAAGCATGAAGTCATGAATTTAATTCCAGAACTCATATAAAAAAGCCAAATTTGGTAGCACATTTTTATAATCCCTGGGCTCACTGACTGGCAGGCAGTTTTAGCTTTGCCTACTCCATGAACTCTAGGCCACCCAAAAAACAAGGTGGTTGGGCAGTGGTGGTGCAGGCCTTTAATCCCAGTACTCAGAAGGCAGAGGCAGGTGGATCTCAGTGAGTTTGAGGCCAGCCTGGGCTACAGAGTGAGTTCCAGGACAGCCAAGGCTACAAAGAGAAACCCTGTCTTGGGGGGGGGAAGAAATGGAAAAAACAAGGTAGATGGATAGCTCGCCAATATTTGACAGGGACCTTGCAGAGGAAGTGTGTTTGGAGTAGAAATCAGGGCTTCACGTTTGCAAAAGCCAAATCTCTTAATCCATGTGGAGGGGTTAGGCAGACAGTCCCCAAGTCTGGATTTCAGGGAGAAAGCTTAGCTGGGAAGATCAAAATGAGTGTCTTATTAAGTTATTGGTGTAATTGGGCTGAACGGCCTCAGGGAGGAAGGAAGAAAAGACAGGGAAGAGGACTAGGGAAGAGTCGTGGGAATGCAGAATACAGGGGTCCGGGGAGATGGGAGGATGTGAAGGGGGTTGGGGAAGTGCCTTCACAGAGGCAGAGAAGCTGAGAGTGACCCTACAGGCTGGAGAAGAAGTAAGTCAGGTGACTTGACAATCAGTGAGATGGCTACTGAGATTTCATTGTCGGGTTGGCACTGATGGGGCACTGGGGACCTTGGCTAGAGTAATCTTGATGGTACGACAGGAAAGGAGCTGCTGACAGCAAAGACAGCTTCTTTCTTTCTTTCTTTCTTTCTTTCTTTCTTTCTTTCTTTCTTTCTTCTTTCTGAAATATGCAGTGATCCTCAGCCTCCCGAGTGCTTGGATTACAGGTGTGAGCCACCATAGCTAATTTAAACAAATATTTTTTGAAGCATTTTTAATAAAGGGGAGCAGGAAAAAATGCAGCTGGAATCTGCAGAGAACCAGAAGTTATCTGTTTGTCTTTTCTCTCAAATTTTTTTTGTTTTTTTTTCTTTTCTTTCTTTCTTTTTTTTTCTTTTTGAGTAAAAGCTCATAATTTTATTGTCTTCATAACAAGATCAGCTTACAACTGGATCACTTGGCCCTTTCTCTTATTGCTTCCCAGTTCAAAATGCTTGCATCTCTTACTAGCCAGCATCCTCTTAGATCTGCTCAGCACACTCAAGTCTCAGCACAGTCTTTGTAGTTTTAGTGTGTGTCCCTCCCCCCCAGGAAAATAGGCTTAGTCTGCCCACCATAGCCACTGTGTCCTGTCGTAACGCTGCTTTCCCTGGACATACAAAGAATCCTTGCCCTTCTTGTCCTGTGTCACTTTGTGGGGTTTGTGTTTGCTCCTTCTTGCAGAACGTCTGGCAGGTCTTAGGAACGTTCACCACGTTGGCAGGAGTGATATTGGTACAGAAAGCTTCTTTTGTTTTTTTAAAGACAGAGTTTCTCTGTGTAGCCATAGCTGTCTCTGTAGATTAGGCTGGTCTTGAACTCACAGAGATCTGCCTGACTTTGCCTCCCAAGTGTTTAGATTAAACACCACCACTGAATGTTTTTTTTTTAAAGACAGGTTTTCACTGTGTAGCCTCTCTCAGTAGATCAAGCTGGCCTTGAATTTATAGAGATCCACCTGCCTCTGCTTCCCAAGTGTTGGGGTCAAAGGTGTGCGGTGTGCATCATTGCATCCAGTTCTTAGCATGAACTTCTTTAATTGACATTGATGTATTCTAGGAAAATCAAGGGGATCTCCAAGATCTCTACAGGTCCTGACTACAGGACCTCACAGATGGGGTCATTTCTACTGCATTCTATTAGTCAAAGCAAGTCATAAAGTCAGCCCAAATTCAAGGGACTCACCTCCTGCTGAGGAGCAGCCACGCCTCTGGAATGGGTCATATGAGACAGGAGGTAGCGTAGTGGCCATCCTTCCGCGCAATCTATCACTCAGTTGCGGGGACTGACTGTTGAGTCACAGAGCCCGGAACAATTCCCACCCCCTCCAAAAGAAGAAAAAAGCCATCAGGAATTAGAAAGATGTGGGTGTGAAGGGAATGAATGACAATAAGCTAGGTGCTAGGATCGTCAGAGAATGAGGGGGAGGCTAGCGACTCCATCAACTTCAAAAGCTTCCACTATCTTCATAGTTTTATCAATGAATTTTAATATATTTCATCAATGAAAAGAAGTTGTTCCTTCTTCACATCCCTTTGACTCAGTCACTCATCGGTGAAAACGATGTTGCTTGCTCCATGGCAGAGTGTTTGCCTACCGTGTATGGGGATCTGGGATCATCCCCAGCACTGGAAAAACTAGAGAAACTATTCTCAGGAATCAGCATTTCCAGTGCCTAAGATGGCATCCGTTGCCTGACACTGCACCTAGGCACCCAATATGTATTTGTTGGATGAACTTATTTATCTTTAACCTGGAGTTACAGACAGTTGTGAGCTGCCATGTGAGTGCTGGGAACTGAACCCAAGTCAGTGCGCTTAACCACTGAGCCATCTCTCCAGCCCTGTTGAATGAATTTATAATGATACAAAAAAGTTTAAAAAGTTGTATGTGGGGGCTGGAGAGATGGCTCAGCGGTTAAGAGCACTGCCTGCTCTTCCAAAGGTCCTGAGTTCAATTCCCAGCAACCACATGGTGGCTCACAACCATCTGAAATAAGATCTGATGCCCTCTTCTGGCCTGCAGGTAGACACACAGACAGAATATTGTATACATAATAAATAAATAAATTAAAAAAAAGTTGTATGTGGCCAATGCTCAGGGCTATGTTAGTAAATTATAGTGTGCCTCTGTAATGGATTATTATACAACCACTAAAATTATGCTTCTGAGGACTATTAACGTATGGCATGGGTTTTTTGAAACAGGATAGTGCATTGTAAGTACATTATATTTTTACCTATGTATTCCTGGGTAGCAAAATGGGGAACCAAAACTGATAGTGACTCTGGAGATCAAGGGTCACAGATGGCTCTCATTTCACTCCAGTCTTTAAGACATTATACATATTCACTGTGAGAAAAACAGAGACGATGAAAAGTGTTAACAGGAAAAAATTCAGAGCCAGGTGTGGTAATCGTATGCTTGTAATTCTGACAGGAAAGAGGATCTGGAATCCAAGGTTATCCTTAGCTCATAGTAAGTTCCAGGCCAGCCTGAGCTACTTGAGACCTTGTTGAAAGAAAGGGAAGGAATCGATTAATCAAAAAGACAAGCAGAGGTTCAACATCTTACCAACATGGAAGTCCACTTTTTGTGTCTCTCCCCCCTCCTCACATAGCTAAGGCTGCCTTCATCTTGAAATCCTCATTTTTTGAAATCCTTATACTTCAGGAAGTTAAATACTCGGATAATATTGACATGCCAGCCTTATATTTTCTACACTAATTGTTAATATTATGAGTTTGCAATGTTTGCTAAAAACAAACAGCAACAAAACAAAATAAATGATAGAAGCCACATCTGACTCGGTCCAGAGAGCCTCCAGCAAAAGACAGAGAGAAGAGGAAGTCCTCTAGAGAGCTGGGGTTGAGCTCCTGTGTTGTCGGGCGTAGACTGTGGGCATTGCTCTGCTCCTGTGGCCACTTCAGTAGGAGGCTACTCTGTGAGGCTAGGGACATCACCTTCCAATGTTTTCATCTAAAGATGGGGAAGTTCACATTGGAGAATGTGGACAGTCTTCCCCTTTCTGCACCGGTATCCAACCGAACAACAAAAACACATTTGGGGTTTTTGTCTTACTCCGGTTTTTGAGTCATTCATTGGCTCTGAGGGTAAAGAAGCCTGCTAGGTCAGTTTTCCCCACCATCCTACAAAACTTCCAGTCTGAGATCTGGGGCAGCGAAGGATGTGGGGATGTTCAGAGGCAGAGACTTGCCGAGAACACCGACAGGCAGCGGCAGTCTGGTCAAGGCAGGCTTCCCAGGGCTTGGAAAGGAACGGACTGAGGAGCCTGAGCAGATGGGAGCAAAGAATGGAGGGTACACTAGTATGGTATTTAAGTGGGTATGGTCCATCCTGGAAGAGGTAGCGAAGAAAGAAAGAAGCCAACAGAGAGCAGGCGCTGACCTACGAAGCCAGTGACGAAGGCTCTGCAAGCTTGGGAGGCGTGGGCTGGTGACAGGAGGAGGGTGACAAGCATGTCTTCAGTGTGTTGAGAACCGTGAAGGGCTAATGAGAATCATGATGAGCAGCAGACAGGGGCGCGCAGAGGCGGGACCTGGGTGAGGGGCAGAGTGGGGCAAGAGGCGGAGGTGGGGTGGGGTAAGAGATGGGAAAACAGCAGGACGCTCACCTTTGGCCGCCCGCACTTTACAGTGTGTGCCCATTTCAGTTCCTTTGATACTCTGGTTTCGGGAGAAGAAAGCGAGGCTGGGGGGC